TTTGCAGCTTTTTCATTTTCATAGTTGTGAAAGCAGGGAAATTAGTAAAATATATGAAGAGAAACTGAGCTTCCTGGAAGTGGAATTGATGAAGTCAGCTTCACACATGTTGCCAACTTACTCTTCTAAAAGTTATATCCATTGTTATTCCCACTGACAGCACGTGGACGTGTACTGTCTCTTATTTTTCCCAGCGTTCCTATGATCTTTTAAAAAGTTTTTCCATTCTGATAAATGAAAACTACTGTCTCATACTGAAACATGTGTTTCTGGATCCCTGGTGGTTTGGGGCTCTTTACATGTGCTTTCTGGGCAGTGGGATTTCTTTATTCACCAGTTCACTTGTGGGTGTATCTGCCTGTTTTCCTTTTTGTCTTTTTGTTGATTTGTCAGAATTTTGCGTGGTAAATGTATTACTTTTTCTCTATAAATTGTAACAGATATGCTTTTGTCATTTTGTCTTTTTGCTATATTGTGGTCATATTAATGATAATATATTGATGTCTTTGTACAGTCAGATCTACCAGTGTCTTTAGCATTTCCATGTGTGCTCAAATAGATGAAAGTCTTCACTTTCTAGTATCTTCATGCTTATGTCTTAAAGTTTACACTTCAGTCATGGTGAAATTTATTTTTTTGGGTATGAATTGTGGAATAGCTGTGTGTGGGTGTGCACACTCTCTGATTCCACTGGTGAGGCCACCTGCCTGGTCAGTGTTCTGCTCCTTGCAATGTAGATGTCCAGGGAGACGACCTCAAGGTACAAGGACCCCCAGGCCACACTGGCCACCCCTCCCTCAGCCGTCCCCCTCCAGTAGACTCACCACTTCTCTCTATGCTGTTTTTGTCTGATATGTGGGCTGTGTTTCCCATTTCTCCCTCTGATGAAACCATTTTTTCCCATTTTATTTGGGTTGAGACTCCTGTGAGGTGAGTCGAGCAGCAGGAAGGTGGCACATGGGTTAGTGGATGCAGAGCAGAGGCTGTGAGGGGTGTGGACCTCCCTGTGCTCCCTGCAGTGCTTGTTTGTAGACAATCCCTGTGGTTCTCTGAGGTTTCACCTGGACTTTATTATGTGATTAATGGAAGGCTTTCCTTATCAGTCAGGCCCTTGTGAACCAAGTGGCAGCCACGGTTTAGAACCGTTTTAACAAAAATCTGCCCAGTGGAGAAGCTCTGTGTGGGGTGTTCACAAGGGACTATCGACACGACGCCCTCAACTCTCAGGTAGGATGCGCATTAATTAGTGCA